CTGTGAAGTGAGAAATTAATTGTTCATAATATTTGGTTGAATTTCAGGCATAAATGGGGTAATTTAATGTAATGGAAGGTCCACAAGGCAGATTGTGTGAAGTCTTTTGTATTGTATGATAACTGCTCTATCTGCTGGCCATTTCTTGAATTGTTTATGAAAAGTCAGAGAGAGTTGCATACCTGAACTTTGAATTGATGCTGATAGAAAAGTTACAGGTCTTCATATTTGAAAAGAAGAGAGGACTTTCTTTCCATCTTTTTATAAGCAATTTTTTTAGAACTCAGGGGGCAGGGCATCATGAGAAATTGCTGCTGGGTCAAACTATTATATTCTCTATTATACAGGTTACCATATTGTCATCAAACTAACCTCTGCTTTAAGCAGCATTGAATCTCTGTTTGGTAATTTTGGGGCTTAATATCATGTACCTTGGAACACAAATTCTTCTTTCAAGCCTTGAGAACTTAACAGTCTTCAATCCACATTTCATTGAGGTACTCTTGCTGCAAGCCTTCTATAATAGTCACCTGTACATGTTGAAAGATAAATTAGAATTCAGATGTTTCTTAGTCTTTTGAAGGATAATGTAGCCATGCTTTCCCTGCATCCAGGTCAGATGTTCAAATCATTTGGCTGTTCATCCATGACTCTGCCTATATAAAACAGTTAAACAGAAGGGGAGCCTTGAGCTGGATGCAGTGAGGTATTCCATATTAGTCACATGACTGCATAAAGATGCCGTTTAAGAGGACAAGCATGAATAAAAGTGTACCATATAACCAGTCTTTCTGGATTTGGATACTTTCCCCCATACACCTCACTGTTGTCCAAGAGTTAGATTTGATTTAAATAAATATTTATGTATCAGCATTTTCATTTCAGTAGCGCAGTTATTTTAAGTGACTGTATAGTGTTGATGTAGTTTGGTCATTGTTAAAGTGACATGGGGAAAAGTCTTTGTTTTTTGTTTTTTTTTTTGAAATTCTAACCTCATTTTATGTGGCTGTTGCGAGTTCTACTGTTGATTTAAATTTGAGTTTCACAGTTTGCTGACATTTTTGGTTTTAACTGTTGGAGTCATGGTTATATTGAATGTGTCACATAAAGCATGACAGAAGTGTCTGTTTAAATTATTCCTATATCCCATTACAAGGTCTTTATGCTTGTGGAACTATTATAGACACTTATTTCAGAATGTTCGAAATGGGCCAGTGATGCCTGTTATATTGTTATTTTGGTGTAAACAGTTGTATGTCTTTATTACCTACAGTTTGCCCAGTGGATTGTCTGTAGGAAGATCCAACATTAAGCAAGTTGCTGAACGGCGACGTGTGGATATTGAACGTTTCTTGAACACACTGTTTCTTATGGCAGATGAGATTTCTCATTCTGATATTGTCTATACTTTCTTCCATCCTCTTCTGAGGGACCAACAGGAGGCAAATATCAATGCAACCAAGGTTAAAGGTAATTCTGTGTGTATGATTAGAAATACAGTACTACCCTTCAATTAATTTTGTTTCTGACATCAAAATTGAAGTTTTTCTGCTGCTATAATACCACTACCTGGCTTTGAGCATGATTCTTGGGAAACTAAATTCAAATTTTCACAAATTGTTTCTTAACTTCCATTTAATGTTATTATCTCACCTCGATCTCACAAGTTGCTGCCCTCTAAGAAATTTCCCTACCACAGTCTTGTAAGGATTTCTTTCCCCTTCTGAGTGATATATTCAATCAATTGAAATTTCATGCCCTTGATAGAAGTGAACTGTACAAATATCAGTTCCTTCTATATACGTTCTTTGGTAGTGCAGTAACCTCCATTTCCCTAACCACTTTCTGTTCAGGTACTTGCAATTTAAACTCTTCTTTCATCTTTCAGTCTTATGTGTTCTCTTTTCAGTTCTTTCCTCTCTTTGTGATGTCATCCATTGCTTGCTAAATCGTCAGGTTTGAGCCACTCTGTTTACAGTTTGAGTTCTAATGCTATACTCGATATTCTTCTTTCATCCTTTTTAATTGCACTGCATTCTAGATTAGTTAAAAAACACCTTGTTCCAACCTTTGCACTACTAGTCTTTACTTCTACATTATTTCTTCTGGTCTTCTTCCCCTTGACCTACATCATATGGGGTATGGGCTATAAATCTTGGGCTGGTGGCCAAGTTTTAACTGTTAATGGTAATAGTATCGAAAGAATGTGTATATAGAAATTAATATTGTTCAAATTTTCATTCCACTTGTTTGTGGCTGAAAGGAAACATTTTTTAAATAAACATTTTTTAAAATATTGACATACAGTAATTTGAACTGTACATGAAATTTTGTTGGGGTTATTAAATCAAGGATGAAATGGGTAGGATGCATGAGAGAAATGAGAAATATACATAAAACTTCAGAAGACCACATCAAGGGAGAGATCGCTTGAGAGATGGGAAATTTTTATATAACTGGATCTTACACAAACAGGTTGTGAAGGTGTAGACTTGATTAAAAAGGCTGAGGATAAGATCTGATGCTAAAACAGTGATGAATCTTTGGTTTTCATAAGAGCAGGGAATTGACTGACTAGCGAGGTATTATCAGGTCTTACAAGAAGACCCACTTATTGGGGGGAGGGGGTATTTTGATTGTTATTTTGACAAATGAGATCACCTCTGTAATTCAGTTCGGTGTAAAACTTCATATAAATTTTTTGTTGTTTTTATGCTTTTTTTAACACAGAACCACGAGCTCAGAGGATATCAAACCATGAATCACGTGTTTGTGGCCAGTTAAGATTGTCTCTACATTACCAAAGAGGGACACTAATGGTAATGGTACACCATGCCCGTAGTCTCTCAACAGTATCAGCAGGACAGGAACCATCACCCTACGTAAAGGTGTATCTCCTCCCTGATCAGTCCAAGGTTACCAAGAGGAAGACAAAGGTTGTACGTAGAAACTGTCATCCTACCTTCATGGAGATGGTGAGTGAGTACTGTGGATTTCAAATGGTTTTTGTGCAAGAGAG